GGGTGGAGGTTACTGTCTGAAAGAAGGCAATTTTTGGTTACTATTTTATTTTTTGAAGCTTTCACTGAAATCATATATTGGATCAGAGAAGTGGAAGGTTTTAAATACACAATAGACAAAGTGAGGGTGGCTTCTGAAGAGTTAACATTACAAATAACTGCTTAAAAATACCTGCCTGATAGGTAGTAGCAAAGCAAATAAAGCAGTAAATAAAGAGGACCCAAAGACTACATCTCTAGTTATAAATTAAAAACGCATGGGACAGTTGTCTAGCCTTGACACCAGCTGACTTGGAATAACTTCACCCTTCATCTTCCGAAATAGGCTCATACCACGTCTTGGGAACGGGACGCTCAGCGATCCACTCCGGCCTCGTTCAGGGGTAGCTATTTGCCGTGGGCCAAGAACCTGCCAGTGACAATTCCAGCAGTTTAACAGCGTCAACCAGTGAGCATCTGGAAATATTCCTTGGCACTCTTGACTTTACTAGTATAACTTATTAGCTTGAATGTCAGAGATGTGGTGAGATATAAAGAGGTCAGGCCAGGGGTCTCCAGCTGTAGAGCCTCCACCCGTCAGACAGAGACAGCTCTCGCAGCTCACCAGCCTGCAGAGCTCCCAAGAGGCACAGGCAACACTCGACCTCTTTCTCCGGATCAGTTATCGCAGTACAATTTTTATCTGCAGGCAGTGGGTCTCAGACTGTAATTTCATGTACACTTTTAAGTTTGCATAAGCTAGCAGGACTGCTGAAAGAAATCCTACCATCTGGTCACTCGTTCCCGTACTTCCTGCTCCTTTGTGCTGACGCAAGTGTTACTGTGGCCACAGAGCAAACCAGTCAGAGAACTGATATAGGGTAAAATGAACCCTTTTGCCGATTTGTTTTCTGCTTCACCAGTTCCTTTGCCTGGATCACTGCATGGCCAAAGACCGGAGAGAAGGGAGGATTGTTTCTTTTGATGGGAATACTTGCCTATGACAGTTTAAAGTGTACACATAACTACAGTCTAAGTGATCTGAACAGCAAACAAAATTTTGTTAGACCAGAATGGAAGTAGAGAGAATGAAGAATTCTTTATGTGAAGTTTTTTCACATTTCCTGCCCAATTCTAACCCCATGAGACTCATCCAAGATATCTCAGGGATGTTATAGTAGATTAGTGCCCTGTAATGCAAAGGAGAATTTGGCCTAAGATTTCCCCCTCCCTCTCCTTTGCTACTCTGTCTTGTCAGGTTAATGTAAGCACAACTGGCAGACTTGGAAAAGCTTTTCTCTCAGTCATTCCAGCAGTAACATCCTGCCATTTAGCATCAGTTCCTTTCAAATTCCAGACTTTGAAGCAGAACTTATTTTCTGCTGCTGGCTAGATACTTGCTATAAATCGCTACTGAAGAATTTCCAGGCATCATGAATTACTTAGCTCACTCATTTTAAAAAGATTTTTAAAAATGGGATAGGCTCATAAATGGTACCTTAGCGATCAGTGCAGCATAGAAGCCTAGACAAGTTAGTCCAGAATTGCTGCAGGAACTCGAAGTAGGACATACTGCCTATCATCCATGGGTCACCACCTCAGAAACTAATGCTAGCCTATAAAACAGAATAAATTGATACATGTTTGATGATAACAAATATTAAACAAATTTGCCTGCCTCAAGTACACAAAGTAGCTGTAGCATCACTGAAAATATGAAGCATTGTTTTATTTGCTGCACTACTAGCTGTTTTATTTCAAAGCTTGTACTACTTCACTTCAGTTTGCCTGATTTATCTAAACAGAAAGGTACAATGGGCTTCTGCTGCCTACACACAGAGTCAGTATGCAATCTTTATTAATAGAAAGACCTCCGCGAATTAAAGGCCACTTTTCTGGATATGTTATATGTTTTGCTGCAATGCTGAATTTGCCAAGGTGAAACAGCTTGCTGGCAATCCTCCCTGCTTCCAGCAGTGCCAATATATAATTGACATTTCAGGATGCTGCAGAGGAAGAAGGCTGGTTGGTAACCTTCCTTGGTATAGCCTAGCCAAGTGGTTGATGCTGTATGTGAGGAGAGCACAGCAAGCATCTTATTTTCTGATGCAGCTTAACTTGGAATTTATTTTTTAAATAAACGAATTCTCCTTTTTAAAAGCACCCTCACTAATGACCTAGTCCCAGTGCCTGCTCATCGAACTTACACTGTGGCGTACATAATGCTCACTGAACACTTCGAACATACAGCATGACACAAGGCCCAGTTCTTACTTTTGGCAAATGTCAGCAAGTCAGTAAACAACAACTAACAGGATGGATGTAACAAAACGGCATGATAATGGTGCAATATCAAGTGTTTTTCTTAGAGTAGTTACTTGTCTTTGGAAGAAAGGGGGAGGGGAAAAAAAGCAGAGGAGGAGCCCTGTCACTTGAACTTGCTTGAAGCTTGTTACTGGTGCAGCTGAAACAAGTGCTGCGTCAACTGTGACTCAGCAAACATTCTTGAGCTGGCTGAGCGTGACTAAGCAATCCACACCCAGGCGCAACGCAGCACAGACCCGCTGCATGGTTTGTCCAACAGATAATTATTTACTGTTTGCAGAAACTCAGTCTTAGCAGATGTCTTGAGTCCCACTTGCGGTCACTGGAATTTTTATCTAAAGTAGTTTTGTCTGCCAAGACAGCAGACTTATTTCCCCGTTCCCCCGTTTCAGCTTTTCCGTATACAGATTTTTTTGCGCTCGTGTCACACACAACAAGCAGATTGTGTTCTGCCAGTGCATTCTGCCACGTTTACTTGATAAAGAACAAGCAGACATAAGCACTCAGAGACTGTGACTGACTACACATGATTTGGGAATTAGAGAAATGTTTTTTGAGTGCTCGTCCATTTTAAAGAGAAACAAGCATTCTACCCGAGAAAGGCACCTCAGCATATCTCGCAGCCATTGCCCACTACTGGAACAAGTACTCCAGAAATAGGAAGCTGGAGACGTGACAATTATTACTCTGTGGAGTGTGGAAAAAAATAAACCGAAACAAAACCTCAGGGAGACAGCGAGCCTCTTCTCTTTTCTAAATAAAAACTAAAAATCCCTTTGATGAAGGGCAATGTGGTGATCTGCTTGTGGTACAGTGGGAAGGCAGAGGCCTAGATGTCTGGATATTTGGCTTCTATTTCCATCTTGTTGTTGACCTGCTGAGTGACTTTAGCAAAGTCATTTTCCATCTTTTACTGTCTTTTATTTGCCTGTATATAATATTTGGAACAGGGTCTCTTACTTAATATGCTGAGGCTTGCACAGTATGAGGATGAAGGGACCGTAATGGCAGGGGCCTTATAAAACCACGACTGTCACCAGACTCTGCCAGTTTTATCTCTTACCTCATAATAGTTTGTTCTTTCTTGGAGGAGTGTGATTAGTTTCTTAAAAATTCTTTTTAAATTGAAATTTCTTTATTTGACCTCACAGTTACAAAGAAATAAGTTGAAAGCGATGTGAGAAGGTACACAAAAGAACTCCTGTTTTCAAAGAAAGAAAGGAAGAAAAACTAATTTTTCACACAGCAGTTGGATTGTGGCGCCTGGCTCGTTGTTTCAGAGGGTTTGGAGATGACAGTTTTGTCCAGGGAGACCTATACTAGTATAGCAGCGAACTGTTCTCAGCTGGGCTTCTAGGCTCTGCTTCTAGGCTCTGCAGAACAAATAATAACTACAGCTGCTAGTCAGACCTTTGGGGACCATGAAGTGAGTTGGGAAGCTCACAAGAGCGGGCGTGCGAGATTGCTGTTTCTGAGCTCCAGAAGACCAAACTCTAAATACCAAACACGACAGCTTTCCATAGAGTGCGCCAGCAGATCATTTCTCTTTTTGGCTAGAATTCAGTATCAAAAAAACATATATGAAGAAAAAGGAAAAATTTTAACCACATTATTGCAAACCATAAAGGTTTGTCTCTTGCTTGAGCTTGGGTTGGAACAGGGAGGAGGAACAGTTATTTATCTGAACCAATTTTCCCATCACACTGAACCAAGAACATCAAGGCACCAGCTCTGCAGTTACTCTGCAGCACGCAGCTGCAACGATCGGATAAATTCCTCAGAAAGGCGAAGGTTGTATGGAACAAGGAGACCTTTAGAAACTGTTAACATCAAACAGCAGAAGCGTGGGCTGCCACCGGAAGGAGCGTCGCTTCCCTGCCCCGCAGCCCAGCTCCATGTCCTCGCGCTCTCCCTTCTGCCGGCGCCAGCAATTGCGCGGCTGCCCGGTGAGTCAGACCGCAGAACTGACTGGGCTGAAAACTCATTACTTTTATTTTCCAGGTTTGTCTCCAGATAGATCAGCTCCAACCCACGCCATGGTGACATAGGCACGCCTGCAGGAGGAGGCGAGAGAGAACGCACAGCTGGGGGCAGAGGAGGGGGATTTTGGGATGGCCCCTTTCCAGGGCAGGTCAGGTTTGCCTCAGATTAAAATGGTTATGAAGCAGCAGCCCAAAGACAAAGTGTTCAGAGATTGTTCATAAATGTGCAGTTAGGGGCGATGGCAATTTTGAGGGGGGCACCTGCAGCCACAATATTCCCCTCGCCAGGTACTAGCAGGGCAGCACTGCTCAGCCTTGCTGCTGCGCTGGATCCTTCCAGGAGCACTAGGTATCTCTGAGCTAAATTTAAAGATTTTACTGTAACCTGAGCTGCAGCTGTAAATGCTTAATGCTCAAGTGTCTGTGGCTTACACTAGTCTTGCTTTTCAGATTTCATCTTAAAAAATACCAATTATACCTTCATGCATCCCCACTTAGCCTAAGTGAGGACAGCCGGCTATAACTTGATCTCCACAAGAACGCTCAAGGCTGACCTTATGCAAGAGTAATATCTTAATGCTCAGTTCAGCATATAAAAGAAGGAAGTCAAAGCTACAAGAAAAGAGTTAAAAATCCAATCTTGACTGCAAATGGGAACAGTTTCATGCTTACACGCACACACAAAGCGGAGGACGGGGGACACACAACACTTTAGTAAAATAATGGGGATTATTTTACTAAATAACTCAGTCCTGTGAGAGGCTGCAAAACCATTCTGATTAAACGGAAAGTAACCCTTGCTCCTCACACCGGGAATTGCAGGCTCCATGAAGAGGTAGGGGAGATATGTTGCACACTGTTGAAGTCCTGATGTTTTCTAGCGCTGATGATCATTTAATCTATCCTTGCAAATTGCTCTCAGGCATCTTCTCAGATCATAAACCCTTTACTGTAGAGCTTTGCTAACTGTATGTAGCTTTGACGCGGAACTGGCGCAGGACAACCAAGTGCTGTTAGAACATTATGTAAGGTCCTGACTCAGGGAAGCATTAATCCACACAGTTAAATCTCACCTTGTGCAGCATAACACTTAAGCATGTTCTTAACTGCAATCCTGAACTAGGATGCTGGGCCAAGAGATTATTAATATATTCCTGGAGCCAGTGATTGCTGGGTTATTGCAGCAGAGAAACTACTGAGAAACTACTTTTTAAATCGAAGTCAAAGCATTAAAATCCCTGTTTTACTTTGCTTTATTTTTATTATTCTCACTCTATTATTCTTCTGATATTTTTGTGTGACTTTTTCCTGGTGTTTTAGTGATCTCTTTTGGCAGTGTATTTTGATTTCTGCACCATCTTCCTCTTGCTTATCTAGATAGTCACCATATTTTCATTTATAATCTTGTATTTATAAACACCTTACACATAGTAGTATGTTGGTGTTCTTTAAAAGGATACTAAATAGGCAGGTACTTTTGAAATGTTTGAAAGGATAGAAAAAGGCAGATTGAAACACCTTAATAAATCTATGTAGTAGACTATTGTTATCTATGATTTTGGGAACAGTTTAGCATATACAGCTGTTGAGTCTCTCTTCTCAGCTGGAAGTTGTTACTCCTACAGTGAGCACTCCTCATCTGTTTCAGCGGAGAGTCGTCAGTTTAGGGTGGGCTTGTGTGCCTCTGGTAGTAGGGATAGCCTAAGCAAATCTCATCCTTTCATCCGTCTGTGCTGCTTGTTTCTATCTCTGTATCATCCCCTCTGTTCTGACAGTACTAATGTTTGGGGGGCAGCTGGCTGAATAACAGCTCAGCAATAACAAAAGAAAGGTTGTTTTTCAGACAAATCAGTTGCCTGTCACCTTATGTGCAACCCTGTCCTTAGTTTAAATCGCTTCTGAAATAACCCTTGCTGAATTCATATTGAAGCAGATTAAAAGTGCTCACACAATTGCATGTGGCATCCTCCAAGGTTAGGAGTGATAGCTTTTTAAGCCACTCCTCCTCAGTGTGGAAGCTTCGTGACTTGGCAAGTCAAAACAAAAAATTAACTAGCATGAATATGACAAATGCATCTCTCAGATGGTTGCCTGCATGTGTAACACCCATAATTTTTTCCTCTAATAACTCTGCAGATTCCATTTTGGAAAACCAGGAAGAGCTGGAAATTGATGACAATTCTACATTTTGAACAGTTGGAGCACAAGATTCACATTCACTCAATTTCCTGCTGGCAGCAACTCAAAGCTGCACTGCAAAGAAAAAGGTAATTAGGTCAGTGCCCTTCTTCTCTCTTTATATCAAGAAAAACTCAATCTGTTTGCTTTTTTATATTAGAAGTGCAAGCCCTTCTAGGCTATATGATTCTGTACTGCCTCCAGCAGCATCACAATGGTGACGGTGCAAGAGATAAGAAAGTCAAAACTGAACGACTCAGAAGAGAAAGGATTTTAAGTTACAGTCTTAGCTTTGTATCTTTTTTGCTTTTCTTAAATATCTATTCAAAATGTACACAGGCAAGTGGTGCTACATAAAGAAATTCTTTGCCAGAGACATAATTCCATTTTCTTCCACTGACGGGCTAAGAATCCAAAGTAAATACCCCTTGTTCTTCTCAAATGTTTCTGCAACTAAGGGAAGCTCAGCCTTTGCATTTTTAGTACTTCTATGTTGAAAAAGGAAAATAAAACAATTAAAGAACTCCAGGCATATAACCAGTCTTTTTTTTTTTTAATCAAAACAAAAAATAGAAGGGAAGAAAAGCAGCATTTAAAAAATGTGTCTTAATGTGTCTTGTTTTCCTTTAAGAGGAATATAAAGATAAGAGATATTCCAATGAATAGGTCTCGATGCGGTTTCATTTCATATACTTGCAATACGTGCACTGTGGCTCTACACATGGGAAAGACATCATTAGAATGGAGAACTTTTCAAATTACATGAATGGATTTAGTATTCTAGAAATGATACATTTCCTATTCAGTTCTACCTGAAATGATTAAATCTGCCAGCAGCGGCACTGCAAGTTATTCACTAGCCTTGAGGCCAGGCCCTGAACTAGTTCTAAGATCTAAGAAGCGGAGTGTGTTTGGAATAGGTTATGTCCATTTTCCCAATAAACAACTTACGTTCATGTACAGAAAAAATAAAAGCAGATTGATCTGCGTATAAATGACACATATTGCACCAAAACATTTTCTGACATTTTAGTTTCATAGGTTAAAGGCAGCTTATGCTATTCCACTACCTGTCTTGATTCACTCATAATCTAGCCGAGTCTATCCTGAAAACCTTTGGCAGCAAGAGTAATAAATAGTGTATTATGTTGAGGCATACATAATAAGCAGCTACAGGAGCCAATCAACAAATGGTTCATTCCTGAAGCAGATGTTGCTGCCTGGAAGATACTCTGATCTTTGTTTTTTAAGAAACCAGATCACTAAACTTGCAAAGAAATTTGCAAGAGATAATTCATGGGATAATGGAGATAATTGATGACTGCTCTGGGACCATTAAACCCTTTTCATTTACTACACTATAGGCAAGACTTTAACTCCTCTTCAGATGTATAAAGCCTATTCACTGACACACTGAGTCACTAATTGCCTTTAAAATTTCATTAAAAACAGATGCCATGCTAAAGAGCAAATATTAGTCACGCTCTGATCAAGGTGCAGCTAGACATTCTGAGCATGTACTGATAACATAGCTAATGATGTAGAAAACAGCTGCTAATGCAGTGATTGCATTCTCCACTGTACAGTTACAATTAATATTGATAAACTTAAAATGCCTAGTGGAAATGCATCCTGTTGGCTGGATAATCAGAATACTGATGGAGAAAAAAAAGAAGGATTATGATGAGACAAAAGATGGATCCAAGCAAAAATCATCACTATTGAGTTTGTTTTCTTCTTTCTTGCTTCTAATAGTGATGAAACTGGCATCTGGCAGAGGCACATTCATGTGCACATGCTATTTAAAATTTGCTAAATATTTTAAGTTAAGCAACATTCTACACAAACTAATAATGCTAAGTAGCAGGATGCAAGACCTTGCATAATCAGGGCTTCTGTTCTTGCATTATCTATTTTGCATTATCTAGCTCACTGTGTTTAATTAAGTACTTTAAGCAATGCATTTCCAGTAGTCTAACTGCTTCCGCTGAACATAGGCTTTCTAGAATTATTTTACGCAAGAAAGCTTATGGCCTTTACCTATTTGTCACAGACATCTTTTATAGTAGCATGTTTTGGTGCAACTAGCTGATTCAGCTGGTTATTCACAAGTTGCATGGGGACAGGAAAAGAGTCATATCAGCTACCAAAAAGGAATAACAGTGGTACAGTTCCTCAAAAGGGCTGGAATAGGGCCTGGAGAACAGACCTGAGCACACATGGGGTTTAAGTACTTATCTGTACTTGAAAAAAGACAAGCAACTGCTGTTCCTGGACAATTTCTTCTTAATCTTATGCCTTCTTCCCATGTTATTCCATCTACGTTGCAACTGGTTTAAGCTAGAATGGAATAAACCAACTTTCTTTCGGAATGAAAGCCTAAACAGGCAAACAAATCACTAAAGCGTAATCTAAAACATAACCTTACAGGGTATTACTCCATAGTAACTGCCTGCACTTTTCTTCTATGGTAAACACAAGGAAACTTTCTCCATTTACTAAATAGCAAAAACATGTGCGCTGATGATTATGGAGAACAGGAAATATGCTAGAAAGTGACGTAGCTGAAGGAATAGCTGAAGGGCATAGCTGAAGAATATCTATCTATGTGCAGAATTATTCAGGAGTAACTAGAATATAGGTGGTATAGACAAGCTGCTAGAGAAAGCATGCGCAAGCACTGGTGTCTTCTCTATCCCCTGGAAAACTGCTTATTTATAAAGAGGCCTGATGAACGATAGAAGCCTAACGTGTGAAGCATCACTTATGTCTGCTTAAAAGAGTGTCTGCCTTATTTTCTTTGATCTGCCCAACGTATGTTATAAATGTTATAAATGTTATGACAAGAGTTGGGCAACTGACTGTGTGGCCTTGGTGTGTTCTCTGGACAAGCCCTATTTTGAAAACACACAGATTTCTCAAATGTTATTCTTAATTTTGAGATGATATTTTAAAAATAAAATTTAGAAGAGAGTATTAGGAGATGCTGTTATAGGAAAACCGTTCAATTTTAGCTCTCTAGATCTCGTACGAATTATCAGTGGTCCACCAGTTCCTTCAGATCTCCTTCACTTGTCTTTTCATTTTTCAAACACTCAACACTCCATGAAAAACCTGTTCACCTATCTGCACATCAGCTTTCCACTCTTTTCATACCTCTCTTCAGATACAGAAAGAAAATAATTACTTTATTACTCCAAGGTTTGCAGTATTGTAAGTGTTCTGTTGGCTTTGTTTCATGTTTTTCCACATGTATGTTTGTGATTAGTCTTCTGAAACATTTTGTTTTCTATCCCAAGGTAATAAGAACTTTGAAGATGTCAAGGCTGATAAATATTTTTAAATTTATCTGGATTTAGGACTTTGAACGCCTTATGGATTACTGAGTACTGACACACAGCAATTTTTAGCAAGAAGTGTTGATGTCTTCGCTCAGTATGGAAAGTGTGTTGCAACATATGAAATCTAGTTTTCGCAACAGTTAGATTTAACCCCCTGCCTCCTAGTAAATTAATTTGTGGTACATGGTTTGAAATCAGCATTATTTGTTTTGGAAAAAGAAATGGTGTTCTTCCAAATATAATTACAGAATGTAAGTGTTAGCTTTCTCATTTGGACCGTTTATCATAAAAAAGTTTGTTTCCTTTGTCCATAATGTTGTCTGTTAACGACCCTTGCTGTGTCTGTCTTCCTATTGTTTTAGATACATATTTGGATTTACCAGGGAACTGAGGAAGCCTCAGGCCTCTCTACTTTTTCTCATTAGCACCAGCTAGCACAGAGTAAACTCTGTGTGATGCAAAAGCAGTGCACAGTTTTAGCCAGACTAGGGCTAAGCCTGTCGCAATACAGCCATCTAATCTTGTTGAGTTAGTCCTTAGAGGTTTGCTATAAACAGTGCTGACACACATCCTGGAGTTTTTTGACATGCGCTTTACCTGTCAGATTCACCTTGTTCATGAGGCTCCCATAGGGAAGGCTCATGTTCAGCTGACCTGTGGACATTCATGAAAATACAAAGTCAGGGTAAAATAAATCTAATGCAAAAGTTATTACCAAAAACTATTAATTTCTTTTAAACAATCCTTTGACTGCAGAGGAAGGAACATTTACTACGGCCTTATGCTGTAGCTATTACTTGTGCAGAATCAAGGGAAACTTTGTCCTAATAAATACACAACAGGATGCAACCCTACCTTTATCTGTTGTTTTAATTGCTTGAAATGGGATGTGTTATAAACAGGACCATGGGTTTGATCCTTTACCAGCATTCTTATGTGTGTCAATGAAAGTAAACAGCCTTTCAGTGATTTTTTTAGTCTCACTCAGTAATGGTTCTCCAATAGCGGCCTTGGTAGTTTATGTCCCTTGTTTGTTTTGTTCACTCTCAGTTTCTGGCAGTCACAGACTCGTTGACCTGGAAGCTGCATCTGGATGATTGCTTTTAACAGCTACTGCTAGACACATCCTCTATCAGCTTACCTAATCCTTTTTTGAACCCATTTATACTCTTGGTCTCCACCATATCCTGTGGCAATGAGTTCCCCCAACATAATTATGTGCTGCGGGAGAAAGTACTTCCTTTTGTTTTCTTTAAACACGCTGCCTGTTCATTTCATTATGTACAAAGCCCCGTCCCTCTTCTTTTGAAAAGGTTACATTGTCAAAGCAGTGGGTAGATTGACAAAGCTTTGAAGGGTTGAACAAGCACAAAGAATTCTGGTTCCAATACAAGAAATATCCAGACTGGTCTGAATCCCAAGCAGCGCTGAAAGTTTATCATCAGCTTTCTAATACTGTAAGGTGTAGGCTCCATGAATTATGGATGGACAGAGCCCTCACTTAAAGGGCTTTCCTCAAATTCTCTTTCTACATCTCCTTCTGTCTGGCCTCGTTTCACTTTGCCACACCTCCTCAGAAGTCCTCCGTTCATATCAGACTGTCATACACAGTTGTTCTCTTCCTTCAAATTCTCGACTTTGAAATAATTATCTATGAAGAGGAAGATGACCTGAAAACCTGATGAGGTGAATGTTACACCCTCCTTGCTGGGACAATGCTTGTAATATTCCCAGAAGAGCAAGCCAACCCTCATCCTTCTGTAACAGCACAGTGCAGTGCCCATCTTTCCTGCCTTAAAAGCATTCAAGGAAAGCTTAATTGGCCACAGTGAAAGAGAACTGGCTACACATGCACTGGTCCTAAACACAAATACTTCTGAATTAGCTAAGTGAGGGATTTATCCCTGATGCGTTAGAGACTGAACAACCTCCCCATGGTCAAACAGTGTGAGGCTGGTAGAGGACAGCTGAAGAGAGGCCACCCTCACTGGTGCCCTGTGGGAACACCATAGGAGAGGGACTGTATGCCTCATACTTCATACAGTCTGTTGCCTGACACTAAGCGCTTGTCATTTGCACTTCTCCAGGGTTTCATCTGGGTCCCTTTGCTCATCTCAGTTGCATTTCATGATCATAACTCACCAAGTGAAAAGAAAACCACAAGAGAAAGTTTCTCTGTTTTGTTCAGTGCAAACATAACCCTGAAATGTTATAGGGCAAAACACTTCTTTTTTATATTTTGGTGTCAAAACATTAGCAGCAATGCATACATTGTTTTAATTAACATTCATTCTATTCTATATGAACCAATCACCTCTGTTGCTCCAAGGAAACTGACTGATACAACTGACTGACAATAAATATTCTTTATCAGTGTGAACAACAAAAAAGATCTCCTCAGAAAGTCAATCTTCATTTGAATTTTTGAAAACATGAACCTAACATAAGCTCTACAGCTATTACCTCATGGGTCTGTACTATGTTACACTATTTTTTGTGCACGTGGCTTATAAGAGAATGCGCACAGAAAGGAAGTTACATCTGCGGTTAGAAATCAATGCATAAGCTGATAACTACAAGACTTTATTTTGACTGGTATAGGTCTGGGACAAAAAAATAGCAAGTTCTTCATCCTGTGGGTGCCCACTGCAGTGTGCACCAAAACCAGAACAGAGTTAGTTGAGAAGTTTCTACCTTGGAAGGGAAGTGTTCTAAACTGACTGGTTTGATGGTGGAATTTATCCAATTTTACATTTAGCTTTCTATTAAAAAATTTGAATCTGCTTTGTTTTGGAGAGCAAAAATCAAAATCAGAATGCAATTCAGATTTAATAATTTCAAGGCATTTCAAAATCAAACTGCATCAGTCTGTGATGCTATATAGCTTGAGAATCTCTTGGAGGCATCACTTTGAGCTTGCCTCTTAATTTAAGAGTCTGAGCCTTTTAATTTAAGAGTTTATAAAAGATACCCTTTCTCCATCCTGCTCATTGATCACTGGAATTAAACAGAGGCTGAAAACATTTCCACCAAAGAAACGGACCTTAAAAGATTTCTTAGTTTGTTCTCTCACAATTTCTCAGCTTTCAGCCTCTTAGTTCTAACTATTCTCATCACTCACTGTTCTTCAAGATAGATAAAATCTGAGCATCTAAATATACACAAGTGAGAGAAACTCCATCTACTCTGTGACTTAAGACCCCTATCGCTCAAGTCATCTTTAAAAAACTTTGGAATGGTATATTCCTAGGAGACATCTTTAAAAGCAATCCTTCTCAAATTTTCTAAGCTTTCTTTGTACCTTTGGAGAAGAACAGTAGGGGGCAAAGAGGCAGAGGAAAAGGAAAACATCACCAGAAGAGATAGTTCTATTACTAAAATATTTACATAAAAATGCCAAAAGAATACCATGAAGAAAAACTACCTCTCATTTAATTATAAACTGTTTCCTAGTCTTGATGGAGAGATACTGAATGCCCACAAAAATAAAATTTATTAAAATCTCTTTTATATGCACTGGCTATTTAAGCAAGTGGATGGATAGGATACTACAGATCACAATCCTCAATAAGTCTCTTTCTCTTAATAGTGTAATGAATGAAGCAAACAAAAAAAATTGTCATTGACTCGGCAGATTTTACATGCTTTAGGTACAAGGATGCTGCTTTTCATTACAATCTCCTTTGGAACTCTGGTTTTTTTCACAGAATTATTCCAAACTAAACCTTTGCTTTTCTGAAGAAATATATAGGTGTCTGTTTCTTTTATTATAAGACAAAAAAAATTCCAAAGCTGCAGAATCCTATTAGAATTCTTTGATTCAGACACACAGCCTGGGCGTTCACTTGGAGGCATCATCTTTTATGCATAACCTGTTCTCAGTAGAGGTTAGGCTGATAAATAAGGAGGGTTACACTATTACTGTGCAGTATCTAGTTTTCAAAATTCAAAGCTCTCGGTTAAAGGAAGGAATCACTGTATCAGTAAGGCACTGTGTTCAAATTTACAGCAACAGAAAATATTTCTGGAAGAAACACCACCCGTCCCATGATTCTCAAAGAAGTGGCTTCCTTCAGCAGTAGGGCTAAGCATCCCTTCCTCAGTAGGTCAAGGCTGAAGAGGAAGAATCATTTTGTAATCAGTATAAGGGAAATTGAAGTTTGGCTGTCAGCTCTGACAAATGCATCACATGTTTAGTCAGTTACACTACTTATTCTCTCTCTGACTCAGCTTCCCCTTCTAAAAATCAAGATATTCCTAATTATTGCCTTCCTACTGCAGAGGTAAGGTGAAATTCATTGGTATTTCTCAAGAGTTCAGATGCTTTGGCGAGACACATCATTTGGAAAATATGAGTTGGGTTGACCAAGTTCTGTCTGGTTACTATCTGGCATCTTGCAGTTATTTATCCCTGTTTTGATTTATATCCTACTGGCAAGAGTCACAAGAAGCTTCCTCCATCTTACAGTCCTTTAGGAGATGGACCATAACAATAGCCTGACTCCTTTCTGTAGGATGTAGTCAGCACCCTTTTGTGCCCTATGGTAGAAAAAGCCTGCACTTTTTTTTAATACTAAGCGGTACAATATGTTTGTTTGGGCTATTTGCATGATACAATTTAATAATACATCAAGGATTTATTACTGCACACGGGGAGCACAAAAGTGAGACCCACCTATTCAGAAATGACATGTCTAATTTACATGTGTTTCTACTCAGTTCATCTACCTGAGCAAGCAACAGGCACTGTATCAACTAAACAAGCTAAATCACTGAGGACCAAGCCCGGGGCTGAAACACTATCTGCCACTTTTAAAGGCATGTATTGTGTGCTGAAAGGTCTACAGATGCTTTTCAGAAAGCCCTGCCAGAAATGTACAAAGCTATTTTGTTAACCCCAAAACAATTCAACCAAATTGGATTGAAATGTATAGACTGTATATTGTTTCTTTCCATTGACTGTATAGGGAGGCACAAGTCATGAACAACAGCTGAATTGTGTTTGGGTCTCTCTCTTTGGTGGCAGAGTCACTGTAGAGCACTAGCATAACTGTAGGGTGTTTAGAGAAGCAAGTGATTGCATCAGTCAGTGCTTTGCAATTGTGGGCTACCCGCAGAAGCTGGCCTGGCTGTCTCTAGCTCTGTCGCTTTTGCCTTTTTTTCCTTTCCAGGTAGCCTGCCCGCTCTGACCGTCTCTGGCCTCCCTCAAACCCAGACAGCTGCTGCAAGCTTTCCATCCTCTTCAGCAGAAACACACTGTGACTCAATTCTCTCCCTCACCTACCTTATTGCCTTTGAACCAAGTAAGTTGCTTCCATTAAGACCAGTGATGAATCTGACCTATAGGACAACTAGCTTCTTAACTACGTCAAAGCAAAGCTGACAGAAATGCCCCACATTTGTGGGGCATAGAGAAAGCTGTTTTCTTCCTTCGCCCTACCATCCTTCTTTCAGCATGAAAATAGGCACTTTACTCAGAAATTAAAAACTCTGGAAAGACCATAAAAAGATCAAGCTGGCTGACATACACAAGGATGTGTTATAAGGTCCCTCAGGCATAAGTAATAATGAAAAAGCACTTATTTATGATGGGGATAAGAGCAAGCCAGTGCAAGCATCTGACCTACTATTACTATAAGTAGAACTATATTTGCATGGGTGCAGTCTTTCAGGTTACCGCTTTGCATGTGGGGAACAACAAAATTAAATCTTTTTGTTTCTCTTGTTTGCTAAAGGCCAGCAGAGCTATAGGGTTTGTCACTATGAGACAGGTATACGAAGACTCATTTGAAGAATTAAATATTTCCCCTCTTTGTTCTTCTACGGAGCCTTTCATTATAAACATTAATTATAGTAATGAATGTTTGCAAGCCAAGAGAGAGATGTTAATTATTTGTCTAGTTGGGAAAACTGAGGCATTGAGGGTCAAACAGATCTATTTATTTCAGTGGAAGTACATCATGAATGAGTTCAGCTTACAGTCACAATTAGGCCAAAGCTGTAAGTAAATCATTGGAAGAGCAAGAAGTTAAATGTGGAGGGTCACCCGTGTTCTTCATGATTTAACGCTAGTTTGTTCTCTGAAATAAGAACTATCCAGTATTTGTAAAAGAAAGTATCTTCCCAAGGTCCTTTTAGCAACCGCCACAAAATCTTAAACTGCTCCTTTGCTACTCATTTCATACTCAGATGCAGTAGTTCAGAGCCAAGAATACGCTATGTGAACAGAAAGAGGTATACAATTTCATTTTTAGAGAGTCAACAAACAAATGACATCACTTATTAGAAATACTATACACAAACTCAGTAGCCACAACCCCTATTTTAAGTTCTTCGCATAAGCAAGCTGCAGCAATCTGGGATACCACTCTCTCTCCTAAACTGAATCTAGAGCTTAAATGAACTCAGAGTTTTGATGTTTGGAAGCTTAACTCAAAACTGCTTTTTTTAATAATTTTATTTTTATTTTTATTCTCTCATTTTCCATGCTGGAAAAAACATTAAAATTAACAAAATAACTTTCCCTGCTACAATTTCAGTGCAGGTGAACCAAAAAGTACCTAGAATTTTATCATGAGACCAGCTTTCTACACCACAGAAATCTGAGTAAGCACGTGTGTTTATTATTACCAGTTGCTATTTTGTCTCGTATGACAATAGGAACTTATGATAATCCAGAATGGAGCATGTGAAACAGCTCACAGGAAACAGGAAAGATGTATACATGATCCTAAAGATCTAAGCGTATCAACACTAGCAAAACCCTATTTGGTTAGGTGTTGCCTACAGCAAGAAGATACTGAGATGCCTGAGCACTACGCAGGGCAGATGCTGCCTTTGTTACTGTACAGCATCATATTCACAATTTTTATCCCTTTGTACGGCTGAGTCCAGGGCTGCACTGGATAGTGAAAAAAATGATCGATTATCATACTGTAATAGTTATTTTTCCTTAAATATACTCTTCCTTTTGTTACTTTGAGAAAGTCCGGTTCTATAATCTTGATATAGGGAGGTGACCACGTTTCTTGCATGATGACCAAAGAGTTAATGCAGCTTGTTTAGTTAATATCTAATAAGTTAATTTTTGTATGTGATCCTCTGTACTTTCATACACCTTCTTTGATTTTATCTTTGCGAAGTTGCTAGGTAAACCTACTGATGAATTAGCAAATAACTTTATAATTACAGTACAACTAAAAGCAGTGCTTTGGGGGTCATCTGCTGCACAAATCTAAGGATAAATGACTACACGCAGCTAAAAAGTGCTCTAATTGCTAGGGAATGAGACTTAAAGCTCTTGCTTGTTATTAGAAATCAAAGTTAAGGAAAAAGAAAATGACGCTCAAAGTTAAGCCAAGGATTTTTTTTGTTAACTAGCAACAGTATTCATTAGCTAACACACACACACACACACACACACAAATTTGTTGCCAGGCATTTACAACACGTCTCTTAACTGAAGTTCACATCCTGTAACAGTCTACACAGTCTATAACAATGTACAAATGTTGAAGAAGATCAGCCAATTATTAACAGGTGTTCTCATTTTTTACAGGTGGGGAAAACTGAGGTACAATTGTTCCCAATTTGCTAAAGGACACCTAACAAATCTCTGTCAGAGATAGCAATGGAACCCACTTGTGTGTCTCCACCAGAAGACTCTGAAAGACTGAGGCTTGCTCATGTCTGAGGGGCACAAGCTGTACTGGGCCATGCCAGGGCCGGACATTGTGCTTTGAGGGATACAAAGCTTCTGGGCTCTTTTGACCTTATGGGACCGTACAGCTATCTGACATTACACCCAAGGGTCGAGTACCATTTCTTCTCCCATGATGTATGCAGCTTTATTCCCCACCTCATGGGGAGTCATGGGTGACTTGAAATTTTAGCTTTGTTCAACCTTTACATTTAATGAGACTAAATTTTGAAACTGTAGTTGATCCCTATGCAATGGAAGAGATCTTACACTTTAAATTCTATGCACAGATTAGCCATACCATGGTATTTTCTACACAATAAGCATGTTTATACACAGCTTTGCAATTGTTTTAGCAACAAGCCTTGAATCCCATGAATTGTTGTACATTACTGTTCTACAGACCACCTGGGTGGGGGAAAGCAATGTAGTTACTTTGTAGTTTTGAAGTGACTGGAAATTACTTTTGAAGGAGCTATTCAAAGTTGGGTTGACTTTTCAATCCTCTGCCTGGGGACATAAGAACATTTCTGTACTTTTTTTTTTTTTCAACTG